ATTACTAGACTACGAGCTAGATTTGCCAGGAGTAGTTAAAGTGTGGCGCAGCTACAAGAAGCGCCGTCCAGACACAGCACCTGCTGCAAGACATAGGGACCCTCCAAGAGCTGGCAAGGAGCATGTAGAGGAGGAGCCAGTAGCTGATCGTGCCCCTGTAGAACGTTATCAGTCAGACTCTGATTCAGATATGTGAATGTGAGGGAATGTTTATAACAGAGGGTTTTACATTCCTGCATGATCAGTCAGAAATTTCAAGATAACGCTGTTTGTTCAGCCTTGGAAAATTGTGTGTCTCTGAATCTCCAGCCTAAAATTTTGAAGCAACACTGACAGACAGAGTTCTAGGAGGGATGCACGCTGTGCCGTCAGCGTGCCTCAAAACGAATCTAGGGGCCTGCCTATGAACTAAAGTCACTCATCTTACCGTCATCACCCGGATATAAGACAGTGTTGAATAGTAGACAGGGGTTGTCTATTATACGGGTGTCTCTTATAAATGGGGTAGCCTCATTATAAGATACCTATTTGTGTGTACGGGCAAATGGCAAATGTATAACGAGGAAGTATCTTCTAAACGGATTTTTGTCCATTTATAAGACTGATTTTTTTAATGTATGAGATAAGACATATATGTCTTATCAGATGACGGTATGGATCAGATCAGGGCCCGTGCTAGGTTTTGGGGCACCCTGAGTCCTCAGGGCACTTTTTTAGAATCCAAAAAAATGCCCTGATTTCTCAGGGCAAATCTTCTGAGCCTTCCTGATTGGTCAGGGCTTTTGCAGAAAATAATCCTGACGTGTCAGGGCAAAATTAGTAGCGTTCAGGGTTCTGATTTTAGCACAAACACACCAGACCAGACTCTGTTCTGTTTAGCATAGCAGAGCAGCCGCAGCGCTGCAGCGCACATACAGTTGGTGTTTTACTAGGCAATTAACTCCTGCACCACCTCTCCTAGCCCTCCTCCTCCTCATCATCATCTTCGCTGCTGCTACTAAACCCACTGTCGCTGCTGCTGCCACTGCCATGTTCAGTATCTGCTTCTTGTCCGTCCTCCCCCCCATTCCCCTTCCCCGCCTTCCTCTGCTGCTCCCTTCTCTTAGTAGGCCTCCTCTTCTTGCTGCTGCGCCACAAATCCACCACTTTACCCCATTCCATGTCATACTCAGTTAGGCTCAGGCACATCAAGTCACTGAGCCTGGCATCACAGAGGCTGGTCCTCTGCCAGGACTTAATCACGTTCTGGCGGCTAAAGCCGCGCTCACACTCGACGGTGCTGAGCGGCAGGACAGCCACCGCCGTCCAGAGGCGGACGAGGTTGGGGTAGCTCCGCTCCCAGTCCTTCGTTCTCAGCATGGCCGCCAGTCCGCGTTGAAATGTGTGCTCGCCTTTGGGAGCGCCAGCAAGAACAGGGACAAATGTCCTCAGTTCCTTCTTGGCAGCTCGCTTGTCCACTCCTGCCATGCCAAGCATAACACAACACACATAACAGTCACAGAGCAGGGGCAGAACAAGTCAGAGAGGTGGAAATGTTGACAGCTCCTTCGCCAGCAGCGCCGTAGTTTGTGTCGTGTCCTGCGTGCTTGATACACAAGCTGCACCTCACTGATGGGAAACCGAATGAAGTTTGACAAAGCACGAGCCACGGGAAATCACTTGACCATTCCCGTTTGTACTTCGTAAGCGCCTCCTGGTATTTATCCTCTGCCTCATCGCGAAGTTCCTCTGTAGCTGAAGATGCTGCAGGAACGGCCGATGGTCCTGGAAGAGCTGGCTCTAAGCGGATACGTACGGTGGGTTCCGTAGGACTTTCGCGAGAGAACGACAAGCGCGACTGTTTGTGCTTGGTCGCTCTTAATTTAGGAGTAGCGGCAGGGCCCATGCGTGTCGCACCAGGTGGTACAACGCTGGGGCCGTTCGTATTAGCACGGTCGGCTGTGACTGCGGGAGTTCGAGATGATATAGCTGCAGGTGAGGGTGTTGGTAATGTGGACACAGTCCGAAAAGGACGCAGGAAGTCCAATCCGGTTAGACCTCGTGATACTGGCGTCGCGCCATCGTGCTCGTTAGCCATCACTAGTCCTACTGAGCCAGGCTAGCTTCACTTCTGCTACTCTAGTGGCAACGCTGGTAGGGTGTTGGTTGGATGGATCATGGAGGAGTGCTCAACGAGGTCGAGAGAGAGACACACGAGGAGTTGCCTTGTTGCCCAACCTGTTTCGAGTCTGATGGGTTAGGGCTTGGCTAGTGCCTTGCGGGGGATCGGAACTGAACGCTCAAAGACATTATGCGAAGGCGGGAAACATACACGGGGAGAAAATTCAATGGAGAAAAAACTCCCCGTACCGCGCCAGCCCCCCCCCCCCCCCCCCCCCCCCCCCCAAAAAAAAAAAGCGTTAGGGTAGGCCTCGGTATTCATCCTGACGTTACAGGGGGAAACACTACGGCCATCTTGAATGTACAGAGCACTTCATATAAAGACATCCTGTGATCTCAGGGTGAAAATTGTCATTATTCTGAAATAGCAGGGTAAATACAAAACTGCATCCTGAATTCAGGGTAATCAGGATGTTTTGCCCTGATAATGTGGGCCCTGGATCAGATGAAATTAAAAAGCATTATCTTAAAAATCAGATGAAAGCAAAAAAGTAGGTCTGAAAATCAGACCATCAAACCGATTTGGTCTGATAACGAGAGCCCTGTCAGAATATTATCTTATGTTCTAGCCTGTAGTGGGGTGCTCTATAGCGAGTACAACCCTTCTAGGGTTTGCTATTTGTATCCTCATTTTTGCTAGTTCAATCCCCTCTTTCTTCTTCTAACTTTTGTCATGCTATCAGAGCAGGTCGATCCCCTTGGATCGATCCTGTGGGTGGGTTACCACATCGCTTCCGCTGCTACTTTTTCCTCCCGCCGTGCGCCCCGAGGCGCGCGGCGGTTTTCTGCCCGCCGTGCGCCCCGAGGCGCGCGGCGTTTCTTTGCCCGCTGTGCGCCCCGAGGCGCGCGGCGGGCTTCTGCCCTACGTCGCGGCCCCGCCCTGCGTCGCGGCCCAGCCCCTCGAAGCGGCCCCGACCGTCGCGGCCCCGCCCCTCGACGCGGCCCCGCCCTACGTCGTGGCCCCGCCCTGCGTCGCGGCCCCGCCCCTCGAAGCGGCCCCGCCCTATGTCACGGCCCCGCTCCGACCGTCGCGGCCCCGCCCCTCGACGCGGCCCCGCCCTACGTCGCGGCTCCGCCCTGCGTCGCGGCCCCGCCCCTCGAAGCGGCCCCGCCCTACGTCGCGGCCCCGCCCCTCGTCGCGGCCCCGCCCCGACCGTCGCGGTCCCGCCCCTTGTCGCGGCCCCGCCCTCCAACCAGGCCCGTGGTGGGCCCCTTTCACCACACCGCCCCCCCCCCCCCTCCCCCCCCCCTTCCCCCTGCCATTTCCCGTCGCGGCCCCCTCAGGTCGCCTCGACGGACGACGGGAGGGGCGAGCTGTGGGGTGGCGGGTATGGGGGTGGCCGGTGTGCCTTCCTCCCTTGCTCCTCCTCCTCCTTCGTCTCCCACTGTTGCAGCTGTCGCTGAGGGGGGTGGTTGTGTGGGAGACTTGGGTTTAGGGTTTAAGGGGGGGTGCGTGGGAGTAGAGCTAGCGGTGTAGCAGTGGGTGTGTATCAGGGGGGTGGGACTGTTTGCGGGAGGTTGAGCGGAGGCTGCCGGCTTGTCGTCCGCAGCACCTGTAGTCCGGGGCGCTGTCCCGGTAGCCCAGTCGTAGCCAGCTGTGCCAGCCGCCCGTGGGTCCGTTGCCCGTCCGCCGCTATTTGAGCCGCGGGGCCTGTTACTCCTGTAGTCCGGGCGCTGTCCGGTAGCCGTTGTGCCAGTGTGCCTTCTGTTGCACGTGTGTCTGCAGCTTCAGCCGTCGCCTCCTGTCTCCTCTCCCCTCACTCTCCCTCCTCCTCCTCACTTGCCCGTTGTGACTACCACTAGCTTTGCTCATAATTGTGAACTCTAAACTATTTCTTCTTGAACTTGTGCTCAGATTGTGTGGTGACATTGTGATCCACCCTGAGCTTGTACTACTTTGCCTGCTCTGCTGATTACACCCCACTTTGGCTATGGGGGTGTGTCATAATATTATCTTATGTTCTAGCCTGTAGTGGGGTGCTCTATAGCGAGTACAACCCTTCTAGGGTTTGCTATTTGTATCCTCATTCTTGCTAGTTCAATCCCCTCTTTCTTTCTTCTAACTTTTGTCAAGCCCTGGTTAGTAACCTACATAAAATACTTATTACCTAACCACTACTCGCTACGTGCTGTAGCTGTGTAATTTTGTGCAATCGCCACAAGTTAGCTTCCTGAACTGTATCGGAAAGATTTAAAAGTGAATAGGGCGAGTTGAGTCGCAGCGCAACTTGTGCTTCGGTGGCGCAACGCAGAGTGCACCAACCAGCGCCGCCTGTATTCTTCGCTGTGTCCCCTCCAATCAGAGCAAGGCAATCCGCGCGCTTACCTCCGCGGAGGTCCTTTCGCGCGCGCTGTCAAAACAGTCAGCCAGCTTTAGCGCACCAAACTTCTTGTAACGCGAGAGTCCTCGCCGTCAAATCAAATCATCCGTTCAAACCTCACAAGCCTGCTGCGCCTGCACTCAGTGCTTCAAGTTCGTCCACCTTGACTTCGCTGAGTTTTGCCTTGGCCCCCCACACTGCATCCCTCCACCAGAAAACCCCGACTTTCAGACTTGCCCTCCTTGCGAGGCGCAGGAGCAACTGCTGAAACTGCTCAAGTCTCCTCTCCACCTGCCAGTCACAGTGGCACGTTTATGTGTTCTCTCCACCTCTCCTCTCCTTCAGCACTGCTTCGTGTATCAGATTCGTCACGCTCCTCTTTTAGCACAGCTTCAGTCAGCCGCATACTTAATGAATTAGCCTTGCTGCCCGAATTTCCCAGAAAATCGTTCCCACTCATGCCGTGCGTGCCATCCCGAATCAGCGCGCTGAATCCCACTCACAAGTGTTTCCACACACTCACGCCTGAACGGGCTGCACGGCCAGCACAGACCGCACGCGGTGCGTGCCGTCCACCCACGTGAGGCTGCCAAACGAGAACGCCCGTGTGGCCTGCACCACCGTGAACGTCACCGAAAACACCTGCGACGCACCGGGCGCAATCGTAAACGCTCCCGGCGTCACCACCACTCGGACATTCTTAGGCGCCACCACCCTTGCCCTGTACTTGGACGCCTGCCGAGCCACGTTCGTCACGCGCCGGACCACCGTGACTTGCCTCGCCAGGTTAGACACGCATATATTCGGCAGGTTGAGGTCATACGCCTTAATCGCGTTCCTCATGCCCCCCTTCTGCGGCTGCTGCTGCCGAAGCTCGTGTTGGAAGTATTTGCTCGCCAAGTTGGAATTAATCCCAAAGAGGAACGCCATGTAGCCCTTGGCGCCCACGTTGTACACGAGCCCAGGGTCCATGGCCCTCACCGCCACCACGTGCCCCGACCCGAAATTCCACGGCGTCGCTCGGTGCCCCGACAACATCCGAATCGGCTCGTTTCGATTGTTAAACACCGTACTCGTCGTCATAATCGCGGATTTAACTGCCGCCGGGCTCCAACTCGGGTACTTCTGCATTATCAGCGCCGCGATCCCCACCAGATGAGGCACAGCCATTGAGGTTCCTGACAGCAGCTGGTACGCGGCCTCCCCTTTTTTTCCCGAGGCCATGGGGCCGAGGAGGTTGACTCCCGGCCCGGTGATGTCGGGCTTTAAGATGTCGTTGGTGAAGCCCTCGGGGGAGTGGCCGGATGGGAGATTGGGGTCGACGATGGGGCCCGTGGAGGAGAAGGGCGCCATCACTGGCGCGACCTGGTTGGACTGCAGTGAGAGCGAGGAGAGCGTGGCGCGGGGACTGGTGGGGGGGAAGTGGGGGGAGCAGGGTGGTAGGGATGCAGGGGAGGGATGGGGACAGGGGATAGGGGGAGGGTGAGGAATGGCTGGCGTGACCTGGTTGGATCGCAGCGAGAGCGAGGAAAGAGGCGCGTGGGGAATGGAGGAGAGAGTGGGCGAAGTGAGTGCACCCAATCAACTGCTCCCGCCCCTCACACCCACCTGCTGGAGCTGTTAAGGAAGCTTCTCAGCGCCTGCGACATGGAGCGGTTGACCACGAGCGAGGGTAGGTCGAGCGCGTACCCCTCCCCCACGCTACCCGCCGTGGCGGACGCGGACGCGATCACGATCGCGCGCCCGCCCGCCCTCCGCACCTCCCCCGCCTTGGCCTCGGGCGTCGTCCCCCCCGCCTCGCACAGGACCATGCGCCCCGCCACGCGCGCGCGGGAGAGCGCACCGGGCAAACACATGCGCGCCTGGGGAGGGGGAAGAGGGCAGTGGGGGATGACAAGGGTAGGGGGAGTGAGGGGCTTCACGAACCAGGCATGGAGGCGTCATGGTCATGGCAGTCTCATAGCAGCAGAGGCGTCGCGCTCTCTGCATGTGAGTGAGTCACATCACCCCACCGGCATGAGACAGGCGTCGCTGACCAATCACCACAACTCGCGAAAGGTTCACCGCATGACTTGTGAGAATTCTCAAACGTGTGCGCAACCCAGGCACGCACCTGCATGAGGGGCACGTTGCTGTTGGCGGCAGCAGCGCCGTCAACGAGCGAGAGGTTCACGGTGTGTGCTGTCCCCGCGTGGTACGTCACCCCCACCACTGTCACCCCCTCCGCGCTCACTCCCCCCCCGTCGTCGCCGTCCGCGCTAGCGGTTCTCCGCCCCCCCGCGGTCCTGGCGGCGGCGGCGGTGGTGGCGGCACCGTCCTGCAGCCTCAGCGTGGCTTGCGGCGGCCACGCTCTGTCCGTCGTGCTGCGCGCGGAGGGAGGAGGTGCGCGTGGGGGAGGGAAAGGTGGGCGAGAGGGAGGAGAGGGAGAGAGGGAAGTGGTTAGGCGAGTGGAGAATGGAAGTAGGGGCAAGGAAGAAAGGAAGAGGGGACGGCGGGGGACTTCATGACTGCACCGCACCTCACACCAAAGCACTCCACACCAGGTGAGGGGAGGCGAAGGACTTTACAACAACTGCCGTAACCGCACCACACCCACACTACACCCACACTACGCCCACAGCAGGGAAAGCGGCGCACCTGGCGGCGACAGTGAGATAGTAAGGCGACGCGTTGCGAATGGTGCGGTACACTCCGTCCTCGCGGTCCGGCGGAGCCTTGAGATTGCCGGCCACCAGCACCGGCAGCACGCCCGCCTGCCGTGAGAACAGTGAGGGCGAGGCGGAGGGATCGAGGGGGAAAGAGGGAGGGGGAGAGGGAGTAGCGGAGTGAGGGGAGGGAAGGTGCGGGAGGGCCCGTCCGCTGTGGCAGGCTCTTGGGATTGTCGAGCGCTGGGATTGGCGGAAGGGTGGGTGGGGGAGCTTAGGGGGGTTACAAGGGCGACATTTGAAAGGGAACTTTCGCGAACATAGATGAGAAGTTAGGGGGGTTACAAGTGCTCAGCCATAGAGGCGCTTCTCGCGTTGAATATCTGCGCGGCACGCATGCGAGACTCTACCTGCGCGGCGCGCATGAGCGGGAGGTGTTTGAAGTAATTCTCGTCGCTGAAAGCGACGGACATCGAGAGCAAATCCACGCCGTCCGCCACGGCGCGATCCACGGCCTTGTACACGTCAGCCTCGCTGCCCATCGCCACTTGCCCGTCGAACCAGAGCGCCTTGTATATTGCCAAGCGCGCGCGCGGCGCCATGCCGCGCGCCGTGCCCAGCGGCTGCGCGCCCGACTTGACGCGCACGGCGTTGCCCGCTGCCGCTCTGCGGGGAGGGGGAAGGAGGGGGAGGAAGGGGTAAAGGTGTAAGTTGGGAGAGGGAGAAGCCGCGTCAAGAGCGGCGATGGTTGGAAAACGGGAAGGTGCCGCACGGCACTTGTTTTCCATCACGGTGACGCCTCTTTTACATTACAGGCGTATTTGATGCTCGAGTCGATTTCTCCGCCCATTGGACTTACGTTGACTTTTTATGACTGCATACGCTTTCAGTGGCGTTGACCTGGATAGACTTGCGTTGACTTGCTATGATTTATGACTCACCCAGCGCACCAGCTGCCGTGGCTGTTGGCGTCACGGGGCGACAGGAACTCGATGCTCGGGTCGATGCGCCCGCCCTCCGCCTTCAGCCCCGCCACGAACCACTGCGCGCCGATGATCTTCTGTGAGCACCGCGGAAAGTCAGCCGTCGTGTTGCACCCCCCGCGCCACCGGCTGGGCGGCGGGCCATACGGGGTGCTGGTCTGCGCGGACAGGTGGGCGGAAGCAATTGGGGCGGAAACGTTAATTGGGAAAGTTTACGTCCGCGAAAGAAACAAAGGAGTCCAAAGGCGAAAGGGAAGTCCAGGCGGAATGGACCAAGCGAGTGTGCGGGAAAGAGAAGTTCACCTTGTCCGAAAAGGCCGGGTGCTCCGGCCAGATACCCGAGTCAATCAGGCCTATAATCACGTTTTCCCCTGCGTGGCTCTCCCCGCCCAGCTGCGGCCAGACTTTTTTGGGCAGGTTGAGAAAGTCGGGCGTGTGCGTAGTCGCCGCGCGCACCATCTGGCTGCGCTCCACCCGATCCACCCACGCCTGCTTCTTTAAACTCTCCGCTTCCGCCGCCGTCAAACGTGCCGAGAACGCGTTCATGAGGTAGCGGTAACTGTGCACGATTCGCGACGCGGGGAGGCCAGCAGAGGAGATTAATCTCCGGTGCGAGTCTTTGAGGAACTGCGAGAATTCCTGGACCGCCGCGGAGTGCACGTCGGGCCGGCGCCGCGGAGGGCCGTCCAGGTTTAACGCTGCCGCTGCCGCCGCCGCCGCCGTTGACTTTACTTTCGCAACTCCTCGCTGAAACGCCCGGTTCGCCAATCCCCACCCGTCTCCCCCGACTGACTTTATTTTCGCCATCCCTAGGCCGCTGCTTCCGCCGTTTTCCCCCGACCCGCCACCGCTCCCGTCCTCAATGCCACCCCCTTCTCCCCCGTCAATGCCACCGTTGCCGTCGTCGTCACCATCATGGTTATCGTCATCGTCGGTCTCTAGATTGGTAGCAGTAGCTCTCAAACCAGCTATGCCGCCACGATACGTGAGTACCGAGGGGGCGGAGTTAAGATATACTATGTAAAGGGCAGCTTGATTGAAAGAACGCTTCGTGGATAGCGAAGCGAACGAAACGGAAAGCGTGTGTCTTTGCTGGTGATAGCGCGAACGCTCCAACGATTTTCGCCGGCTGCTTGCGCTTGCGCTGTGCTGGTGATCCTCGTCACCGGGTTGTGATGGGGGTGGATATATCGCGGCTACTATCGAATCAGGGCTGACTTGTAATGAATCTTCCAGCTGCAGGCCTTTTTCCGCTAAGTGTTTTCGCTCTGGATTTGTGTCCGTACGTCGGTCCGAAAGTCTCTCCGAGCCTCGCGCCGGGGCTGCGTCCAAACCTGCTCGTGTGTCTGGTGTTTCATCTAGAGACTCTTGTCGCGCGCCAGGCTCGCTGGTGACGGCGGGTGTTCTCGTTAGTGTTCCACGAGCCGTCCTGCCGCTTATTAGCAACAGCACGAAGCAAAAGACATGGCTTGACGGAAGCGTAACGCGCGAAGCTCTAGAATCGTCTCGCGACGGTCTGCGAAAGGTTACTGGAGCTGCGACAGGATGTTTGTTTCGCCTAGCCGTGCACGCGCTGTGCTCGACTGTCGCAGGCATTGCAGCTAGTAGTACCGCGCGACTGGGTCCTAGCCTGGCTCGATATGGTCGAACAGCGGAGAAGAAACTAGCTCATAGTCTCATCGTTTCTTATTGACATGCTTGGCTGAATAACAGTCGCTACGAAGCAATTTGTAGCGCTTTACGAGAGTTTAACTTCCTTATGGCGATATTTCATACAAATCTCTCAAGCAACGCAGGTCAGAGTAGCAGAAACTCAAATGCTAACAAGTGAGGGCAGCCCATGGACCACCGAACAACGGCTGCTGGAAGGTGGAACAATTTCCTTTTTTCCAAGACAGCCGCCCAACTGCTTATCAATCTCCTCAAGTATGCTGATACAGCAATCTCTTACGTTCTGAAACGCTCAATCTGTTAAAAAATACGCGACGACATGGCGGACGGGACGTGGAGGTAGGAAACAACTACTGTTGGACCTCTCTGTCTGGCGCACGATGCGGGGGCCTCCACCTCTCTTCAAAAGGACGGCATGGGGAAATGTCGATTCGTTCAACACCACCCCACAGTTTCTCAATTCCATTCCAAAGCTGAAAGACCGAAAGGGGACATGCTGCCTCAGGGGTGTCGCGTTAGGGCTCCACGACCAATGGTCGTGCTTGCATGCGAGCCGCGTCCAGGCGTGGATAGAGTTAGAGCGCTTCGTCGTGAAGAGTTGACCACGTCGGACGGGCGAAGGTCGGGGATTGGCACGTCGCTTGAACGCACCGCACGGTGGCTGAGGCTCAGGATGGACACTGGCAGTCACTGACGCCGAAACTGGTAACTTACGAAAACGATTCGTGTTATGAGTTGTAAAAGAGAGTGCGCAGGTAAACTGTAAGGAAAATTCCTTTTCCTTACTTCGTGTAAGGAAAATCCCTTTTCCTTACTTCGCATCCCTGCTCAACGCGTACATCACTGTAGCACCTCAGTCAGCACCGTTACCACTCGCGATCCTCGCATCGACAATCATCCCGCCATCTTCGCACATCGCACCCCGACCTCACGGCTCGGCTGGTAACCCGCGCTCCGGGCCTCCGCTTCGACACTTTCCCAACCTCAGTCCCAGGCTCGTCGCACGACAACCACAGTCCATTACCGTTACCACTGTAGTTTCGCTATATATTCTTCGCTCATGCCTTCTCTCATTGTATTCTTGCTTCGATAGTGCAATTCTCGTTCGTTCACTCAATTGCACTCGTAACACTTGGTATTCAGAGCCTACGATCTCATCTCGGACCGCATCCACACTTTCGCTTCCCCACTATCTCAATTTTTTGGGGGGGGGTAGACGTCTCTCAGCGATACAGCACCGCCGCTCGTAGTGCTCTCTCGTAAGCACGCACGGCCACGACCGAGGCTCTCGCTGAGCTTGCCCGACACCCCCGCCATGGCCGATTTCACGCTCGCCACATTGACGCAGGAGCAGCTTGATCGTCTCGTGCGTCAACTAGAAGATTCGGCGCTCGAAATCGCGACGCTCACGGCGGAACGTGACTCTGCCCGTCAACAATCCACGGTGAACATTCCGGCGACACCACACGCACCGACAAATGCATCTACACAATCGGACGAGCCGATCATCATCTCGTCCGCCACACCAACACAACACGACAGCATGGGACAACGCTCAGGCGCAGCCAGTGATGGCGCCGCCCAGCCGATGCCTGGCATGGGGGGAGGCAGGATCGCACCAAGCCCGCGGGAGCCCCGGGAAGCCCGTCGGCACGTGGAATTTGCGGCAACAAGTGGCGAACAGGCCATTATGGCACCAATGCCGCTCAAGCCGCAACGCCCGCCCTGCTTCGACCCAAGCCAACGAGAAAGTCCGACGGTTCAATCGTGGGTCTTCACGATGAACGTCTTCTTCGACGCAAACTACGTCGAGTCGGATGCCGCGAAGATCCGGTATGCAGTTTCGCTGCTAAGGGGCCCCGCCATGGACTGGTGGCGAGTCATCGTGACATCGCCACGCGCCTACGAGCCACCGTCGCACGAGGAAGGGCCCACGGGTCCAGCTGTCACCTGGAGTTCGTTCTGCGAGACCGCCCAATACAGCACGTGGGATGCGTGGTGCGCAGGACTACGGGCGCGCTTCGAGCCGATCGCGGCTTCGATTTCGGCACGTCAGAGATTGCGCACTTGGCGCCAGCTCGGGTCGGTTCAAGATTATACAAGCGGTTTTCTCGCACTTTGCGAACAGGTCGGCTACATGCACGAAGCGGAGCGCGTGGACCGTTACATCGGAGGGCTGAAGCCGGATATCTCGCACGAAATCATGCTGCGCGGACTCTCTAACTTCAACGAGATTCTCGCGCTCGCCGAGAAAATCGACATTCTACGCCGACCGAGACCGGGGTCCTACTACGGACATCGCCCTCGCGGACCGACCGAGCACGCCACTGTACACGCCGTCGCAATGAATGCAGCTGCCGCACCGTTCAAGGGGCGCTGCTTTGCTTGCAACAGGCCGGGCCATCGCAAGAGCGAATGCCCAGAGGAGCTGAGGCGCCGCGGAGCAGAGCAGGGGAGGGAGTCTCAGAGGCAGGGAAACGCCAGCAGTCAGTAGAAGTTGGGCCAACTACTGACGAGACTGCCTGCTCGCCCAACCGCACCGACCCTCACCGAGTCACAGTACCGATTCACGCCATCGATCGGGCTCGGATGAATAAGGAGGGTACAGCGACGGATTGCCCAGTACTGATCTACGGGAAGATACAGGGAGCAGCAGTGAAGATTTTTATTGACGGAGGAGCAAGTCACAGTTTAGTTAATACCGCGACCGCACGGAAACTACAGTTAACACTTAACCGATGCTTACCTGAGATAGACGCACGCTTAGTCGACGGCACGCCACTGGCCATACGGGAAAAGGTGGAGCGAGTAAAAATCCGTTGCGGAGGGAACTTCGGGTTTACACAGGAAATGCTCGCCACGACACTGGATGGGCACGACATTTTATTGGGACGTGATTGGTTGCGACGGTATAACCCGCGAATTGACTGGACGACGGGTAGCTGCACCGTGCAAAGTAGTGGTAACTGGGTCGAACTACCTCGCTGGCGGTCACCCGTGTCTTCAACGGTCCACGTGAACGCCATCACGATGAAACGGGTTGTTGCCGCGGGAGCTGACGTGTACGCAGTGGATATAGCACTAGTAGGAGAAGAGGAGCAGCCGAGCGATTTTCAGAGACTGTTGGCAGCGGTACCGCCCGTACTTCAGGATCTGTTGAAACGGTACCCCGGGATTTTTCCTGACGATTTACCGCAAGGACTGCCACCTCAGCGGGCGCATGACCATAGGATCGAGTTAGAACCGGGGGCACAACCAACTGTACAGCGCCAGTTCAGACTGACACAGCCCGAGCTCGACGAACTAAGGAAGCAGTTAGATTATTTGTTAGAGAAGCAGTTTATCCGACCGAGCTCGTCACCGTTCGCCGCACCGATACTGTTCACACCGAAAAAAGACGGAGGATTTCGTATGTGCATTGATTACCGAGCGCTCAACAGAGTAACAGTCAAATCGCGATACCCCATCCCCCGCGCCGACGAACTGATCGACCAGCTGCGAACAGCACGGGTATTTTTGAAATTAGACTTACGGGGGGGTTACCATCAAATTCGGGTCGAATCATCGGACTGCGCCAAGACAGCATTTAGGACTAGGTACGGGTCATTCGAGTATACGGTGATGCCTTTCGGGCTGACCAACGCGCCCGCAACATTTCAGATGACCATGAACGAGGCGTTTAGGCCACTTTTAGATAAATGCGTGATAGTTTACCTCGACGACATCTTCGTTTACAGTCGCGACCAGCAGCAACACTTAGTCGATCTCGAAGCAGTGTTTAAAATTTTAGAGGAACATCGGTTACTCACCAAGGGCTCCAAGTGCGAGTTTTTTCGGGATAGGCTAGAATTTTTAGGGCACGTTATTTCGGAGGCTGGATTTGAAATCGACCCCAAGAAGCTGGATACCGTAAAAGCGTGGCATCCCCCGACGAACATCACGGAGCTGCAGAGTTTTTTAGGGTTCGTTAATTACGTTCGTCGGTTCGTCCCCGACATGGCACGATTAACAGCCCCGCTAACAGATTTACTACGCAAGGGGGTCGCTTTTACGTGGGGGGAGAAAGAGCATGCTGCCTTCTCTGCCCTGAAACATGTTCTCTGTTCACCACCCGTCCTACGCATCGCTGACCCACA